CTCTCACTGCTTCTGTGCCAGTTTGCCATAGCCCCCTCTTCCAGCATCATGGTCCTGCCGATATTCATCTCGAACCTGGCCTCCAGAGCGCCCGCGGCCATACTGCCGGCCCTCCTTGAAGCCAGCATCCCAGTCTGTGCGGATGATCCTGTCATCCAGGTGAGTCCCGTGGATGAAATGCATGGCATTTTCTGCATCAGGCCTTGAATAGTATTCCACAAAGCAGAAACCACATGCTGTTTTCTTCAATTTATCCAAACCCATAATTATCTTCTTTATGTCACCACTTTTGCTAAAGAGTTCATAAATTTGTTCTTCAGTTGTATAAAATGAAAGATTTCCCACATACAATGTACAGCTTTTTTTTTTTTTTAATTTTATTTATTTATGTGTGTGGCCAGCTCAGCCCACCAGGGGGCGGGGCTGGCTGGCATGTGGTGCTGGGGGATTGAACCGCGGTCCCTGTGCTCTGCTAAGCCTGTTCCAAGTAGGTGCTTTAGACCACTGAGCCATCTCACCAGCCCCAATGTACAGCTTTTCTTCAGTAATTTTTCTTGTTCTTCATTGTCACCCCAAAAGTGCAGGTCCTGGTACTGGCTCAGCTCCACGTAAGAGTCGCTGCACAGCACCTTCAAGAGGCTCCCCGACATGATGCTAAGCGGTACAAGACGAAGTGCAGCCTCCGCAGACAGCCGAGGAAATCTTTTAAAAAGTGTCTCAATGTGTAAAAGGAAGCTCCAACTATTTTGTGTTGGGAATGGTGGGAGTGTTGGCAAAGGGTTCCCCAAGATACTGTGCACCTGAATGATGAACTGGAATTTGCCAAACTCATTAAACAGGGAGGGAAGGTTCAGATAATAACTTCACTTAGTGAGCTAGGGATGCTAATTAAGATTATTTACACATAAATAACTTAAAATTTGTTTTGAGCTTCTATTAGGTATCAGGCACTATTACAGACACAGTAATGAACAGAAACTCCTTGCAGCTGCTGAAAGCTGACTGATACAACTCCAGCCACAGAAGGTCCCATTTCAGGCAGTATACAAAGGCAGTACCACATTGGTGAGGAGTGTAGACAGAAATGAGGCCCAAAAACTTGCAGCACAGGGCCAGGGAGATGGCTCAATGGAATAAGCGCTTCCCTGGCAAGCACAAGGGCCTGCGTTCGACCCCTGGTTCCGCCAAAAAAAACCCCAAAAACTTGCAGCATGGTGAGCTTAGAGAAGAAAGGCTCTAGTTAGAAAGGTAAGCCAGGGCCGGGGATAAGCACCTGCTTATGGTGTAAGCACCTGCCTGGAAAGCACAAGGTCCTGAGTTCAATCCCTGGTATCGAAAAAAAAAATTCAAAAAAGGAAAGATAAGGGGCTGGGAAGATGGCTCAGATGGCTCAGTGGAGTAAGCGCTTCCCTGGCAAGTAAAAGGACCTGAGTTCAATCCCCGGTTCCGCAAAAAAAGAAAGAAAGATAAGCCAGTATTTATTTTTTTTTAATTTATTTATTTATTTTTGTGTGTGTGTGTGTGGCCAGTTCAGCCCACCAGGGGGTGGGGCTGGCTGGCATGTGGTGCTGGGGGATTGAACCGTGATCCCTGTGCTTTGCTTAGCTTAGCTTGGTCTAAGTAGGTGCTTTAGACCACTGAGCTATCTCACCAGCCCACCAGTATTTATTTAAAGTGAGATATTTTAAGTAAGGGGATGACACAATTCATATTGTAAGTACAGAAGCCAGGCCCATTAGAAGACTCTTGCAACAATCCAGAAAAAAGATGGTGGTAGCTTGGACAAGAGCTATGACAGTGGAAATGTACAGAATGACACAACATTCAATAAATTCTGAATATAAAAGTTACAAGTTCTAATGAGTTGAGCATGGAATGGGTTAAAAATGGCATTGCATCAAATGACAAGTTTCTGCACAGCAAAGGAAACTACCAAAATAAGAGACAGCCTACAGAATACGAAAGGTTTTTTTTGACATATACTGCTGAGACAAAGGACTAATATCTAAAATAATTAAGAACTCAAAATTAGACCCCACCAAATTTAAGGATCCAATTTAAAAAAGTCAAATGAAATGACTAAACACTTCTCAGATGAAAAAATATAAAGGACTGATAAATACATGAAGAAATGTTTGACATTTCTGACTGTTGTAGTCAGGGTTTGAGAAACAAGACAGAGAAACACTTTAATACAGGATACATAATTTATAGGATTATTCTATACTAGTCACACAAAGAGTAAAATGCAAAAGCGTACAGAAGATCTGTCCATACACTAGGGACCCAAGCAATCCAGCTGAGGGCCTGGATCCCACGGCGACGTCCTGCATGCATCCCATTGGAGGCCTAGAGCCCATGACAATGTCTCATGCAAGGTGCATCAAGCATTTGCACTGGGTAGGCCCGAAGGCCAGTGTTGGAAGCTAGAAAGTCTGCTCCAGTAGAATGAAGGAGCTGTGCCAGCAGGCTGAGGGATCGGCACTGCAGCCAGGAAGCGACACTCAAAATAAGAACCAGAGCTCCTCCCAAAAGAACCACAGCCATCCTCAATGACAGCAAGGTCCCAAAGTCCTCCGATGAGGCTAACAGCCAAGTTCATATGAGGAAAGCCAGTGTGACAAGCTTCTCCAGGAGAATCAATAGCACACACTCTTCCCCCCCAGGTCTCCTTTTACACTATTGGCAACAACCCTCAGGTGGGCCTTCCACGCCCTGCACCGTGCCCATTCAGTTCAGCTGGGTGCTACAAATTGACCAACATTTGTCAAACCACCACACCAGCCACTCAAGAAATGCAAATTAAAGCACTGAGATTCCATCTCCAAAAAGAATGGCTATCTTGATGACAATATGCAGTGTACTAACTATTGTTATTCTACTATTATTTTGTTAGGAAATTCTGTCTTACTTTTTGTCATAAAATAAAAATTTTAAAAAAGAATAAATCAACCAATAACAAATGCTGGTGAAGCTCTGGGAAGAAAGAAACCCTTCTCCATAGTTGATGGGACTGTAAACTGATACAACTATGGAAATCAGTATGGAGATTCCTCACAAAATTTAAACTAGAGAGCTGGGGAGATAGCTCAGCGGTCTAAGTGCCTGCCCAAGCAAGCACAAAGACCTGGGTTCGATCCCCAGTACCACATGCCATGCTGGCCCCACCTCAGGAGCACTGAGACGGCCACCAAGACTGGGCATGATGGCGCATGCCTGCAATCCCAGTGCTAGGGAGGCTGAAACAGGAGGATCACTAAAAGTCTGAGCTGCATAGTGAGACACTGTACCTACCAAACACATAAGATGAAAAGAAAAAAAAATTTCACTAGAAATTGCACTTGGGGGCTGGTGAGATGGCTCAGTGGTCTAAAGCACCCACTTAGAACAAGCTAAGCTAAGCAAAACACAGGGCCCGCGGTTCAATCCCCAGCACCACATGCCAGCCAGCCCCGCCCCCTGGTGGGCTGAGCTGGCCACACACACACACACACAATAAATAAATAAATTAATTTAAAAAAATGTCTTTGCAAAGGGATCATTTTTCTTGGAAATATGGTATTATAAGTTGAACTAAATTCAGAAATTTTAAAT